TGTCTTTTATCTGCGCTAGTTTGGACAGCTGTTGTTGTTTATTCCATTTTTCGTTATGGGGTACAACCCGACCGACTATGTGCAGGCTGCCGCCAGTAGTTAAAATGCTCCCTGGTCGTGCTTTTCGTGCCCACCTGCCCGTCTGCTAGGTCACCTTTCTCGCTGGGATCTGCAACAAGTTCGAGCTCATCCAGTGGTTTGTGTTCATCCGGTTCTGTGGTGGGGACTCAGCAACTTGGCGATGAAGCTTCAGCAATATCGCACGGAAGGTTAAACGCCTTCAGAAACTGTGTTCGATCTGTGCTAGTTTGCACAGCTTTTGTTGTTTATTCCATTTTCCGTTATGGGGTACAACCCGACCGACTATGTGCAGGCTGCCGCCAGTAGTTAAGATGCTCCCTGGTCGTGCCTTTCATCCCCACCTGCCCGTCTGCTAGGTCACCTTTCTCGCTGGGATCTGCAGCAAATTCGAGCTCATCCGGCGGTCTGTTTTCATCTGGTTCTGTCGTGGGGACTCAGCAACTGGGCGATGAAGTCGTACTCTATGCAAAGTACAGCAAGACCCAGCTTACATGATTCAGGCGTTCACCTTGTTTTCCGCACGGTTCGTTGCATGGGATCTTGTGATTTGCAATACCATTTGTTGAAAAGCTGAAGTGTGTCAAGGGCGTTTCTCTCGTCGACCTTGAGTCGAGCCGGGCTCGCTGTCCCTGGGGTCCCACAGCCTGTTTTGGGTTTTGGGGTTTTGGGTTTAGTTAGTCGTTTGCGCGTCCGGTGCCGAAGGCCTCCAAGAGCTGGAAGAAGAATTGTTCGAGCGATGAGACGGTCCGAGGCACCAAACTCAGGCCAGTCCATATCGAGCAGCCGCAAAGCCTAAATCGTCTTGTCCTTGTTTTCCTTGCGGAGGTGAGAATCAGAACCGAGCATCCCGCGCAGTTTCGGAACGTTCCGACGAAAGACCTTCGACTGCGCTGCTTCTCGGACCAGATATTCCTGTCGGTACATGTAGATCTGCAGGTAGGTTCAATGGAGGTCGCATGCCTTACGACCCTTTTGGAGTACTTCTTCCATGCGCTTGAACCTCAGCTCATGACTGATGGAGAGGCATGCAAAACCCATGGCTGACATTGACGTGGTCTTGGCATCTACGCCCACCTCGGACGCTGTGCCCTGCAGACCTCTACCTGCGATTGCCCGCCATGTGCGCATCTTGCAGGAAGTGGCTGTTTGACCGCACGGTTGCTGTGTGTGTGTGTGTGAACTTTCCTCTGTCCCTGTGGTTGGGGAAGCTTTCGATTTGATATAGGTTGATTGACGTGCTCTATTCCCATATTAAGCCATCCGAATTCTTTTCTGGGTTTTATGCTTTTTTGCGACAGACGCCAAGTCAGAGCCATCCCCGAATTCGCATGATGAGCATTGTCTTGCCGTTTTATGTTTTGAATTGCCTCCTGTTGAGAAGTTGAGTCAAGCATGCTGAGAAGTGCTTGGGGCTCAGAGCCTTCCGAATTCTTGTGCTTGCAGCAGGCGAGAGGAGTTGACACTCCAAACTGCGCTACACGAAGGTGGAGTCCAGGTCCGACAGCAAAGTCCACAAGTCCAAAAAAAGACAGCTGCCAACCTGCAGAAAGCCTCAAGAAGTCTCGGTGCAAGTTCCACCGAAAACGACAAATATTCGTTTCTCTGCATCGTCAACAGCGTCCACCAAAGTCTTTCGAATCTATCCACAATGGCTTCTGCAGTTTGGCATTCGTGCAAAACATGAAGAGTTAGGCCAAAACCGTCAGACATCTGCTTTCCTGCAGTATAACTTCTTTCTGCCTTGCTTATGATACCGAGAGGTGCGCAAAGCCCGAGCATGCAGAAGTCTTTGTTGCAAGCCGTGTCTTGCATTTTGTGCTACCAAGCGCTGGGTTGCAGCCTCCCAAGTCTTCTTTTCTCCCCTAGTCTTGAGTTTTCTTGTCCTGTCAAGAATGTGGAGATCGTCTTCCGGCCATGTGGGACATTTCAACTGATTCATCGATGTCTGTCTTGGCTTCCGGCGTGAAGGATACCCAGAGCTGTACCGGGCCAGTGCCATCCCAATTCTCCTTGTCGGTGTCCTGCTACCCAATGTGCTGCAAATGCCTGTGGGCTTGCGCAATCCGAATTTCGGTCTGAGTGCTTTCTTGCATGCTTCAGTCGTCAACTATGCAGCGCGCAAAACTAAAGGCATATTTTGCGGCATTAATCCAGGATCGTACCAAAGGCACTGGACCAGAGCCATGCGAATTCTCGTTTCGTTTCGACGTGCCTGTTTTTGTAACAAGGACGAACAAGACTGCCCTGGGCTGGTGCTATCCCAATCCTTCTTAGTGCTGTTGAATACGCTGAGAAATGTGCAGGGCCAGAGCCACCCGACTTCGTGTTCGCTTCTTTCCGCCATTTCTTCTTAAAGCCCTGAATCAAAACGGCCTGCAAGCCGAGAGTCTACAAGGGCTCTCAAGTAGGTCACCGGTGAACACCAAACCCAAGGCGAGAAAAAGGACCTATACAGCCAAAGCAGAAAGCTACACTGATAGCATCTGCCCTTCATGGTGCCACCCGGAGTGTCCAAGTAGCTCGGCTGCGAGGGTTCTTGCACTGAAGCGTAAAGCCCAAACATGCAGCTTCCGCCCTGAGGAGCTGCGCGCCTGTCGACGCGAGCTGGCCCGCTTTGAAGCCAAAGAGGCGGAAGAAGAGGGAGCCCAGCTTGAATTCAGCGTGGCGCAGTTTGCCGGCAAGAACCACTTCGAACTTTAGCAACGTACGGGATGATTATTCGCTGCTTCCCAAGGAAGCCTGTCAAGACTTGTGCAATGGATTCCGATATAGATCGAAGAGGGATCGAGTTTTGTTGGAAGCAGGATTGCCTGCAAAGTGGCCGTTACTGTAGATGGAGCGTGGGGATCTTAATCGGGATGGTAGGGGAGGTCAGTTTGCAGATGTTCGGAGTTTACATGTCCGTCTAGGTAATTGCGTTTTTTGTATCCGGAGTTCGAGAGGGATGTGGTTTCATGTCGGAATCATGATCGGTTGTTGTTGCTGCAAGCTCGAAACCTGGTTACTATTACGACTTGCACTTGCACAGCACCAGAAGTTTCCTCTGCCGTTCCTACAAGAACCCGCCCCGCCCAGCCGATTGCTGTCCGAGTCGAAATCAGCAGCCGTCAAAGCGAGCCCTCAGAGGCTTTTCGGCCCGAAGCTGCAAAGCCTGTCCAAAGCCGCCCCCAGAACTGCTCAAAGCATCCTCGGATGCCTCTCGGGGCCGAGTTGCGGCCTCCCTGCGGAGCTTGTTGCAAGCATTGGAGGCCCTCGGGCTGGTTTGGGGGAATTTTGGCTTCGACTTTTTGGTGCCGACGGTTGTTTAGCATCGGTAGCTTGGCCATAGGCTCGAACATCGAAAAAGAACTTTGTGCAATGTTTTGCATTATAAGTTTGGACAATATGTTCAGCTTGTATAGTGCCGCGGAACTACAAGCAAAGAGCGAAAACCTAGGGCAGGGTAGTCGACGACAACACAGTCAGCCTGTACTTGCATATGCGTGCACCCTTCGCGTGTATGCTTTTCCGTGCACCTGGAAGGTGTCAAAGTCTGGCAGGGCAAGTGCAGGTTTGTGCTTCAGGGCTATTGAAGGCTCCAATATACTCTTTCTCGGGCATGTTCAAGAAATCTGCAGATGAGGTAGAGGTTTCGTCCAAGCCCATCGGAAATCCGAAAGACTACGGTCTTGAAGCCCAGAGCCCAGTCCAGTCCGATCACAGGACGCAGCCCCGAGGCCAGATGCAGAGCCTCTGCAACTGGCGAGCTTTGAGGATCTCTCCCGGTCAGTCGCCGCGGAGGCGCCTTGAAGAGCGCTCTGTGACTTTTTGTTTCGAAGTCTCCGTAGGAGTCGAAGGCAGTAGGGAAGCCCCAGGATTCCCAGGATCATCTCCAGTCTACAGCCAGTGTCCTACTAATTCAGCATCCAAGGAGTACAGGTGCCGCTTGCATGACGGGCATGTTCAGCCATGGCTTTCGTCGGCAAACATGTGGTCCCCCCGAAGTAGAGAAAGCGCGGACCTCATGACTGCGGCAGACCGTTCTCACTATCTTTCTCATCGTCATCGTTCACCACAGCTCTGATAAGTTGTAAGAGCTCCTATCAACAGATTTCCAAGCATCGATGAGCTGACTCGTCGAGGCATGATGTCGGAGAATAGAAGGTGCGCGGAAACGAGGAGGGGAATGTGTCGACAAAACCGCAAAGACCGCCGAAAAAACAGTTTCATCTGCCGACGTACCATTAGCAATGGTACCATGCATCGACAACATGCCCAAACCAGCCGGCACGATGTTCTACGGCGCAACTGCCCAGATGCTGCAAACCTCGCCGGCATGCCGTCTTCGAAGGGAATGTCCATCTAGTCATCGACATCCATGTGCAGTGCCAGCCGCGGCTAGATAGAACACCCAACCCAAGGCCATGCATGTTTCCGAGCGTGAGTTTCAATGTGCTCATTCACGAATGTTGTGCTCATTACATAGATTGGGCGTCGTCGTAGGTCATTGAAAATGCAGGTCGATTTCAGGCGCAATGCTGCACAGCGCCAGTGCAGCATCAACGGCATACTGGATGCCAGTTGCAGGAAGGCAGCGGAATTGCTGAAGGACCTGCGACAAGCCCCAAGCTGGCAAGCCTCCAGGCGTTTTCTGTCTTTCGGTCCTTAGTGGAGTCCTCGGAAATTAATCAGAATTTCTTCAATCTATATTTCTTAGCCATTGCAAGTAGCTTCCGTTCGTTTTGGCGTTCTGCTATTCCGACAATGTAGAGGGCGACAACCACTGCTGCTGATGATGGTGCAGTTGCCATCAAAGTTAAAAAAGCCCAAACCTCAAAACAGGAGCCAAAATGGTACCTTTCTGGCGAACCCTGAAACCCGATGGATTTTCACGGTTCAGGAAGCAGTGAGCGCCGCTCGCGCCGACCTGGTGGTCCTCGCTGAGAAGCTTACAACCACAAAATGGGCGTGAACTTACTTAGTACAAAGGAAGTGTACTTCCAAAAAGTCGGTATGTATAACGACAGTACACCTCTGTGACACTTGTGTTTTGGGATGTAGGCTTTGATTATGATTGCCAACAGGTAAACACATATTTACTTGTGTATATGTATATGTGTGTATATATATATATATACATAACAGCTAAACACATCCGTCCATCCATCCATCCATCCATCCATCCATCCATGCAGCCGGCCAGCCATCCATGCATGCATTGTGTATGTGACCCCGGGTCGCGGGCCCCTGTCCTCTCACCCCTCCTTCCCTTTTCCCCCCTCCCGCTGCGGACACGATCCTTGTGAGTTAGTACATGCCATTACTTGCTGGGATTGGAACGTTTGTGTCACGTTTCTCGCGACCCCTGCAACGTTCCCACAGACTTTTGCATACGGCAGAAGGCTGCGCCAGAGGTACAGGTGAACCAACCATCCGCAAGGGGACACAGGCGCCATGCCACTGAGGGGCACAGCACAAAAAGGCCAAGAAAGAATACCATAGACGTTCAAGCAGTCGGAGTTAGAGTTGCTGCAGTTCAGACTTCAGACATCAAGTTTGAGGAATACTCGGAGGGGTGACTTTGACAGCTCCATGCTCAAATATTATATCATCGCGGCTCACCGGAATTTTCGAAACATTCCTCCAGCTTTGCCCCGGGTTCCAAAGCAAGGGCATGCAAGGGCGCGGTTTTGATGCAGGCATGAAAAATGTCACTGACCTTCCTCTCACTGGTTTCCACAGTCAATCTGAAAGTCCGAAACCCTTTCCATTGGGTCTGTGCGCGATATTTCGGTGACAGCAATTTGCCGGGCAGCATTTCCCGCATGGAGGAACGGCGTGTGTGGCAATGCCATGTCTGCGTAGATGCAATCCGAAAACGTGGCAGTGACAAGACATGTCGCCGTCCCTCCTAAGGAATGCGAATCTGCGTGAAACTCATCTGGGCCTGCTTGGGGCCATACCCAGCAAGGAGGACCTGCGCCTCGGCCGTTTTCAACTTTAAATCTGTCGCGACATCCCTCTGACCAGTCATAAAGGAACCTCAGATCTTGCCGGCGGATCCCGGCCACCAGCCACAACCAAGCTGAGAACTGCAAATGCAGACGACGGCGAAACATCTCGGATCATCTCGGGGGTTACTGTAGAAGCCAAAAAGTTGGAAACCCAATAGCCTCAATTCTTAAGAGTCATTTTAAAGGGAATCCCAGCACTATTTGGCCTTAATCCGGTTTCCAACTTTATGGGGTTTACTGTAGGAGTTTTAAGTCGTGGTTAATCTAATCGTTGTGGCTTTTCGGGCTGCCCAGATACCCACAGCTTGGCGAACCCGAGACCCCTAATGGCACCTGCAGTTTCCGTCCGATGGCTTATTGGCGGGAGGACTAGAGGTGGACGCTCGCGTCGGACGAACCGACGCCTGCCTTTCTCAACACGAAAAGCGAGTGCAAGCTGGGACCTCAAGATCAGCTTGTTCGGGCTCCGACCCAGGCCCTGAGGCCAATAACCAAGCGTGCTCTCAAGCGTAAGTCTTAATCGAACTCTGCGGTAGTCGATGTGCGAGGTGTTCTTTTCCTGTTCCATGCGAGCAACACAGAAGCTCCATCATGTTTGCAAATTGCCGGAGCTTAGAACTCACAAGAGAGCCGAATGACTAATCTTCGGAACCTCTGTGGCCCACAGGTATCGCCTCGAGGATGCCTTGAGCCAAGCCAGAGATACCCACGCGGAGAATGTGGACGAGGAGCTTTGGATGCAGGGCCTAATTAGGGCTAGGCTCGAGAGAGGCTGAAAGGGTTTTCCCAAGGTTTGGGATGGTTCCGATTTGCCCCAACCCAAACCGCGGCACAAAAAAGCAAAGATCCACAGCCAACAAAGAGCCAACGCAACTTCAGCCGCAATGGCCCCGCTGAAAGAATACACAGTGGTTACATGCAGCCCTTACGCAAACTATAAAGGAGCATGCATCACATGGACCCTTTGAATCCATGCAACATGCGAGAGGGAAAAACAATCTGTTGACCGAGCGGACCCATGATAAACAGTGTTTATGACTTATAAACAACAGCAACCATCCCCGCGTTCAGCCAGTCGAATTTGACTGTGTGAAACGAGCCCCCTGCGCGAAGCAAACCACGTGCCCGTGTCAATCTCGTTTGAAACTCCCCGTCTGCCAAGTGGCCGCACGTGGGTGTAATTTCTCGAACTGGCTTCCCGAAGCCAAACTTCGGAGCGTGGGCCTTGAATGGCATATCGAGATGCCTGGCATCACTTGGCTTGTCTTGACGGCTTCTCGCTGCATGCGCTGATGTCAAAGCTGCGGTGTGCCCCATAACCGGAGCACGATTGGTTTTGGGGAGGTGGGCCCATGACCGTAACACCTTTTGTCTTCGGCGGCTTATAGAGAGGAAACCCCGTTGCTGTAACTTGTTTGGTTGTGGGAGGTGGCTGGCGCTGGAAAGGCGACACGATTGCTTGCTCAGAGACGATTTGTAGAAAGAGCGGCAAGAAGCTTTTGGGAAGATTCCCTGTCCAGGAGCGCAAGCTGCGGCGAAAGGCTGAGGGTTTCTCAAGAATTTCCTGGATGAACTGTGCACGAGGGAAGTTGTTCCACGCACTTGTGGCGGTTTCACGTTGCTTCGAGGTGGTCAGGGTGTTCCGAGGCCGCTGGACCTCTACAAGGTCTAGCGGTTCTCAGTGCAAGTTGCCTTCGAAAAGCACCACAAGATCTAGAAGCTCAAAAACTGAAGTAGGTCGACGAAGCTCCAACAAGTCCACAAGCTCGAAGTTTCCAAACTTGCTACGAAACTGTTGAAGAATTCTACAACTCGTCGGAAAATTGCTTAAGTCTCCTGGCGCAATGGTCCCGTGGACGCTCGGATCTTTGCGAACTGCTGAAGCTAGCACTGTCATTCATTTTACTGTGTCACTAAACCCACCCTTGCATGGTTCAACAGGGTTGGAAGCATTCATTCAGCGCACGTCTACCACGTCCAAACCGATCCGACACTTCACTGGCATTAGACTGATAACGTGGAAACGACGACATGCATTGGGGTACAGCTGCAAGTTTGGATTGCTGCTGAAACCGTAGGAAACCGTAGACCTTGCAGGTGGAGACCCTGCAGCGCCGCTTGTCTGGTGCAGGGACATCGGGGGACGCCGAGGCCCAATGACAGATAACCAAAACGCGGGCTGCTCTGGGAACATCAATTAAAGCGGGACCTTGAAAGAGCACTGTCCGTTCATGGCATGATGTCTCCAGGGCTCATGATCCCTATGGTTGGAGTTCTTCGTGGGAGTCTCCCTAGATTGAGCATTGGACGGTTGCAGCCATTGCATTTTGCTCTGTGCTTCTGCACGCCTGGTTGAATGCTTTTGTTGGGTGGATGAGCTCGGCAGGCATTCTCTGAAAGCTGTTGCGTTATTCCGTTCCGGATGTCTTGGGCAGTCTTTTCGGACTAAGGTGTAGAGACTTCGGCGAAGGGTCGCACTGAGTTGCTACAGTCCGTCTAAGGCCAAAGTTCTTCTCGCACTTGGAGATTGCAGCACAAACACCCCATCCCCCCAAGCTGTTTTCAGGTAGCTCGTGGCATACTGCAGCAGCAGCCTCACCCTTCACCCACAAGAGATTGTTTGAGATCCCAAGTAAGTGGCGAGCAGAAAAAAGATAGGGGGTTTCGAGCTCGCGAGCGAGTGTCAGGAAGAGTGCAGTTCCTTGAACCGGGTGGGCAGGAGAAGAAGGAGAAAGGAATGATGCAGCATGAGAAGAAGGCTAGTGCGTAATTTCGGCATGTAGGGGCTGGCTAGGGAACCCATGACCTTCAGTAACAGTGTTTTCTACAGCCTGGCTTTCACACCTGGGACGAGGCATGAAATCACAAAGCAAACAGAACAACCAAAGCTGTATTGCGGGACCAAAACCGAGCACAAATAGAGAGCATCTCCAGAATGGTGATCGTAGGCGTCTTAGGCATGCAAAAACTCCACATATCCAGCCTCACCTATCGAAGAGCCCGAGACTCCAACCGACCAAAAGCTAAAGACCTGCCTTCTGACAGTTTTCAGGCCGAGACATGTTCGGCACAGCTGGCAGAGGTTTCCACCAGGAGAGCTGAGAAACGAAGCCATCGAAAGGGTTTTAGGTATTCTTTAGAGTGGAGCCATGCGGCGGCTTTCTGCGACACTTTTGTTTGCAGCTTTGAGTGTTGCTGCCAGGCTTTTGGGACTTCGCAGTTGACAGGCACGGTGTCTGAAGGATCGTCATGGCTGGAGTAACTTTGGCATACCGCAGTCCTTCAAACCTGAGCTCTAGTCGGCCTCAACGCCGTGAGACCCACGACATAAGCAACCCTCAAGCATTGAAAGCTGCTCTAACTTAAGTTAGAGCAGCTTTCAATATGAGGCTCACGTGTAATCGTGCCCCTAGACGCTCCTAGACACCTCGGGGACCGCCAAGAAGAAAGGCATCCCCTTTGAGCCAAAACCCCATGTTTCGAGAGCGAGGATTGCGCAGAGCCGTCTGGCAGTGCAGGCGGCCGAACGTGCAGCTCGCGAGGAGTTGCCGCCGGGTGCATGAGATGTGGTAGGTCAAGGGGAAGCAAAGAAAATAAGTATATGTTACGGATGATTTCATTCAAATACTGTTGGCACCAGTTTGACGTTGGGGATTCACACACCCTGAACCCTAAACTTCTGTCACAGATTCATATTGTCTCCTCTGCCTCCTGCCGTCGCTGCTGCCACATGTGCAAATCATTCTCGACGCGAAGCGTGATGTCCACAGGCGAACTGCACCATCAGCATGAGATGTGGCGTGGTGATGATGACGAAGCACTCATGGCTTTGCTGGTGAACTTGAATATTAAGACACGGAAGGTGCGATCTCAAAACGAAGCTTTGAAGGCTAGATCCCTTCGCCTCGAACCCTTGGCCCACACAAAGGCTGAGACTGGTGCGCCTGAAGCTGCTCTGCACTTCGAGTAAGCTCGTCCTTGCTTCTTCATGTGCAGGCTTTTCGACACACTGCGTTAGGGGACTCACTGTTGCGATTTGGAGTTGAGCGCCGCTGGAGTTGGCTACCGGGTTCTGAGGCATTGATCCAGGACATGTACTGTGGTTTTTTTCAAGCCAGGCTTCACGGATCGAAAAAGAATCGATTCTGCAAGCTTCTGCTTAGTCAAGAGTGTAGACCATGGTACTGGCTGGACCGACTAGCGGCTAGCGGGGAACACCCGTCCGGATGACCGTAGAGCCGCAACCCACGGGACAAGTACCTCTCAAAGCACCCTTCCAGAACTGGAAAACTGAACTGTGCCATCAGTTCAATGGCATCAAGCTGCAGCTAGGAGTGCACCCTCAACCGCAGTCATGACCGTGGAAACGGTCGCTATTCCACGAAGAACGTAAGTAAAGCTTGAAACTCATCCTGTCGAGGAAGACTGCACCTTGGGGTCTTCCCGAGCTACAGCTCGACGACGTCGCGGCCGAGCTCGTGGATATCGTCGAGGTGCAAATCGTCTATTCGGGCCGTCTTGTGGGCATCGTGAGGAGTCTGGACGTGTTGTTGGGCTTTGCGGCTCGGGGTTGTGGGTTTTGTCGAAACAAGTAGTCTGGCCTTTTGATTGTTGGGGCCGTGGGAGTTAACCGAAGGCGGGAGTGCATCCTAAAAATAAACGGGCGGTCGTTTGGAGCTCAGTATCCTAGACCTAGCTTCTAAACCTTCCCAGAGGGGTGTTGTAGATGCGTGGCATGTCCTCCCGTGTACTCTTATCTTAAGCCGAGTCTCGCGTTGGGATGGGTCGATTTGCGAGACACATGTCCAACCGGAACAGGTTCGGGTCGGCATGTTCATGGGAGGGTACAGAGCATGAGGATCCCATCGGGCAATAGCCACACCATTCTGTTTCCGATCTGTTCCTTCAGCCCGCAACACGCACACAGGCCTGAAGGCCTAACAGCAAAGCATAAGCCATGCGGAATCCCGGCTAAGGCACCTTCCTCTTGACGATGGTTCGTCATGTTCGGAGCACCCAGTCACCAACACTTGAACCTGCCCTAATTGTCGCAGCTTTGCCAGGTGCTAACCCCGGGCCGGAAGTGCTCCGACTACGAAGAGCTCCGACCTATGCCCGGCGCCGGCCGTGGTGGCGTTTTCACCGCCAGGTGTCGGATGAGGGGAGGGAGCAGACGTATCCGGGAGGATTTAGGCGTAGAGGTTGGTTTAAAGCAGTTCAAGGTTTATCTTTGGGGTTCGGAACTCTAGCATGGGCTTGAGAGGCGTGCTAGGGGCGGTAAGGCTTGTGCAGAATGTTCGGATGAAGTTGATAATGAGGCAATTGGACAGTGTTGCTCTACTGACTTGCTCTTTGGGAGGCCTGTGGGTGGACACGGTCCGTTACAGCCCTTCGATAACTTGATCGGCAGCCTTCTAATTTAAAACCGAGCCTGGGCCTGGAGTTTGATGTTGCAGTCTCGGACTCACTATCTTGGAAGCGTGTGACGCTCGGAGGCCCTCGCCTCACGAAGCGTGAAATAGTCAGACTCCACTTCGTTATCGCTGGCAGGTGCGAAAAAGATCAGAAAAGCATGCTATCGATACTTCCCGGCCAGGTACGATGGGCAGGAATGTGTGCTAAAGGAGATCCGTTCGATGAGCTCTTCGGGCGCTCTCAAACGCGAGGTCCTGCATCGAAAGAGGTGGGCACATGTGACGTAACAAGGAGAAAACCAATGTGATGTATCCATGCATGGGGAAGGACATGGTTGTAACAGATCGTGGTTGGCAGTCGAGCTTAGCGGCGTACCTCACACCGGCCGGTCCCTTTCCTGAAATTCTAAAATTCGAGTTTTGATTTACCGTCGATATTCGAAGAGGCTCGTTGTCGAAGTGTTGCTGTAGGTTTTAGGGTCACCAAGTGGAGCCCAAATACCCGTGTTCCTGTTGTATAGTCACTTCACACAGCGAAGATCTCAAGACAAGCAGGCAGGAACCGGCCTCTGCAAATCCTGGCGACCCTGTAGAAGCATGGCATGGGGATGTACAGTGATCTATGTAAGCCTTATTAGGCCAAGATTTGTGATGCTACCCAAACAGCGGTGGCTGGCCGGGCGAAGGATATTTCATCGCGCAGGGGCCCTTTGTGTTTCGAAGAGCATCAGACTTCAGGAACTGAGGGTTTGGGAAAGGATATGCATTCAGACGTGGTCCCCGTGAGGATTTCAGTCGCATGTGTTGGAGCAAAATGAAAGTAGTAGAGGTGTCAAACGCTGCGTTCTGCCGCCACGGGTCGAAGCGCAAAGTTGTCAACATAGCGGCTAGCGCTGGCGTAGGTCCGACCGAACCATACCGAAACCATATTCCAACCTGTCCTTCGGCCGCGTCCAACCCAAGTATTTTTTGAAGCCTGGAAGCCTTTGCTTCAATTATATGGTCCCACTTCCTTCTCGGCAGGCTGGATCATCCACTGATCGTCCCAGTCCTCGCAGCCTTCGAGGAGGAGGACAAGGGCCGCGCCATCGCCTTCTTGCACATGCCGATACTCCCTGAGCATATGGGGGGCTGTAGCCTGCGCGTGTGTCCGCCCACACTAAGCAGAAACGGAATGTCCCGCCAAAGGATGTTTTTTCCCGCAGCAGCTGCTTTCTGTCCCAGGTTGTCCCGGGCGTAGTTGCGACACTCGACCTTGCATGCCTTCAGCCTTGAGCGCAAGGCGAGAAGGGCATTTCATCAGCCTTTCTGAAGCACGGGAAACGCTCAGGGCACAAAAATAGAAACAGCCTTGTTCTTACGAATTTCACGACGCACGAGCCGTAATCTAGGAGCTCCCAGGAAATACGCCTGCAACCTGGAACAGTGGTGCTCATCGGAGCGCTTCACGCTCGCCAAGACGCGACTGGCGCCGTGGGCAGAAATCGATGTCAGAGACGGTAAGAAGACAAGGCTGCCGCCATTTCCATTTGGGGTTGAGACCATGAGACCATAGGATTCCACGGGATTCCGGTCTTCTGGCAGAGGTGCTGCGGGATCTCCTTCTGGCTGTGGCTTTCGTGCACAGCAAAAACGTCATCCACGGAGCCGCCCGGCGGAGCAGAGCCGGGAATCGTGGGAGATTCCTGGAGGGCCCAGCAGGGGTTTTTCTTCGTGCGGCTTCTTGACGGTCTGGGGAAAGACGGAGGTTGGTTTGGAAGTCTGCAACCCTATTCCCTCCTCCTACAATCAGAAGACCTGGCATCGGCCTTCGCTTAAAGAGTGCTATCCCGTGCTTGCAGGTTTTTGGATGCACAAGCGTAGGCCTATGTGTGATTTGAAACCGAACTGGCGCGGCAAATGATTGCAGTCCGTTCAGCAGCCGAAGTGCCGAAACCGGAAGTGCAGCTTGTCGGCCATCGTTCTGGTGTTATTTGTTCTCGTTGGTATCTTTGGCATTCTCATCGCTGTTGGTCTTGGGTTTTCCATTGTTCGAGATGTACGGCTGAAGGACCTGAAGCCCACCAATTTCCTCATGGACGCCCGCGACCGTCCTTGTCTCACAGATTTCGAGACCAGCTGCTCGGCCTCTAACGATTTTGGGTTTCGGGTCCTGTTGAGCTGAAGTCAGGTTCCGTGGGAAACTTGAAGGGGAGAAACAATCGGAAATGTGGTGATTTTCTGGTCAGGCCTTTGTGCAGCTTTTTTCTGCTCGGTGCTGGGAAGACTGGGATGATTGAGCGAAGACTGTGCGATCGGAAAGCGGACGACTGGACATTTGGCATGGTCTTTGGGTATAGTGTTGGAAATGTCGTCCTGGAAGCTTCCTGCAAGCCCGCACTTGGGCTTGCAATCTGCGGTTTGGATCTACGTTGGGCTTCTGGCCTCGACGGTTGCCAGAACATTGGGGAGTTCCAGAAACCCTAAACCATTAAGATTCACCAACTTTCTGAATCAAGTACTTTAGTGTCATTGTTACTAAGAATCGCTAGCAACCGGAGCACCCTCGACCTCCAGCCAAGGTCAGTGCACCGATGCGCAGAGCTCCCGTGCCACGACGGTCCTGGTCGGTGCAACCCCAGCATCTCGGCGTTGAAACCCCTGGGCTTTGGCATACGAAGAAGTGCGCAGCTACCGGGGTTGTGCAAACTGCAGACGACCGTAGCATACGCTGACATACAAGAAGTTTGTGTGGGTTTTGGTATGTCAGACGCATGGCTTACCGATAGGCCTTGAGGATAACGTGTAGCTTGTCATGGAAACACGAATGGTTCTAAGATATTGAGTACGTTTGAGGGCCTTTGTTCGCGTCCGTTCCGGCGCCAAGCCCCACGACGGGACAAAGCAAAACTGCCGATAAGCGGGTACTGTACTGCTTCCGGAAGCACTGCTTGCGATGAAAAGCCTATGTGAAGAATCCTAAGAATGATTTTCTGTGCTTCGACGAAGATGTCTCCCACGCTGGCTTCGGGACTAAATGGAATGCACTGGCAGTCAGGGGCAGTTACTGAAGCCTGTGACTGACTTACACTATAAAATTGTCTTCACTTTGTGTGAGTCCTCTTGGCTCAAAGCCGGGGTCTGTGGTACCAAGATGCTCTCTGTCGGACGTTGGGCGGTTATCCTGCTGGTAGTCGCAGCGGATGAGGACTGTTCACTGCTGGTGGTGAACTCCACGAAGGGCCATCGCACGTATGCGAAAGATGGTTTGTGTGCACCAGAAGTCGGAGACAGCGGGACGACCCTTCGGGACAATGTGCTGCAGTTTGAAGGGACAACGGGGGCAACCTTGTAGTCTGTGCATTTTACTCTTCAATGGTATGCCTTTCCACCGGGGGCAGCCGATCCGGAAGGACTGTGTCACATCAACAGGGACAAGCCTGACCTTCAAGGTGGGCCGGTGGCTATCTGAAGATGCGCGCGATGAGTTTATGTCCGGCGCGGACAAGGGCCACATCCTGAAGAGTGATGAACTGAAGTTTGGTGGCTCGCACCCAACCTTCAGATTTATTGGTTTCCCAGCAGTGTTGGGGTACACAGCATAAGCCAATAGACTTAATGCTCAGGTCACCTTTGAGTGGTTTCCCAACAACGGAAGGAAGATATCAACAGTAACCCCCTGCTTCCACGTTCTCCTTTGCAAAACTGTACTTCACTGGTGCATTCTCAACAGACCCAGATCCCAGAGTTTCGGGTTTTTAGGGCCTTTAGAGCTTTTAGGGCTGTAGTTCTCTCACTCCATAAGGTGAGCAGATCCCTGAGAAGTTGAATTTCGCCTTCGAGGGCCTGGCCACCTTCCGCTTTCGGCATGGGGAGACCTTGGTGAAGCGTGAGGCGTCACAGAGATGCGGGGGGCGGGGTGGGGGGCCCTGTGTTGAGTTGTCACACTTCTTCGGAAGATGGAAGGAAGAGGATGACTTAGCTGTTAGCTGCGGCAAGCTTGTTCAGGCAGGGGCAAGAATAGCTAAATAGGTAGATTCTAAGATCGTTAACCAGGCATAGGGTAGCATGGGATGAGTTTGAAGCGTATCTTTCATGGTCAGGTCAAACTCCGCTTTGCACAAGGGCACAACGCGGGCAAGGCCTACAACTGGTGGATGGGCAGCAGTCCAGAGATTTGTCACTACCCCGTCTCCGGTGGTCTCGTTTGTGGGGTCTTGGCTTTTTCCCACACATCGAAAGGTGGTCGATCAAGCCGAAAGTTCTACGTCTATCCGCGCCCCAATTGAATGCACCCTCATTTACTGGCCAAAGGTTGCCAACCAAGCGTCACTCCACATTCAACTAAAAGGGTTGAGTGGATGAGCGGAGAAAGCGTGATCCCAAAATGTCAGCGGCTCATAGCCAGACCATTCTGCACCGAGTTGAGGCCTAGGTTCCAACCCGAAAACTGCTGAATATGACCAGCTTTAGAGGAATGTCATCAATCTTCGAGTTCACGGTTTGCGCGTGCCGTGATTACAATGCATGTCCCCGTGGCTTCCTCGGAGCGTGTGAACCCGCAAAACCCGACCCCAACAGCTCCCCCAACCTTGAACATACCAGATATCACAATTGTCAGTCCTTTGATTGCGGTGCTTGTAAATAGATTGCTTCCTTCATTCAGTCAGCATCACTTGTCTAAACCAGTGCTACTAGCTCTTCTTCGATTATTGTAGCCTTTACTCGTGCTGCTGTCTTGTTAGCCAAAACTGAACCTGCAGCAAGAAGCCAGGCATGCTAAGCGAAGCTTCAGCGGAGAGCTGTGGCAACAGGAGTTCATGGCTCCGGAGTTCCCAAAGCTGACGGCGGCGTCAGACATCTACTCCTTGGGTTGCATCTGCGATCAGCCGCTTTGCTCGAAAACCCCTGTCCGGGACCGCCGCCGAGGTCACACAGGCTTGTGTAAAGGATAGTCGGTGAGAGTATACAATGATGGCAATCGCAATATATACGAAGGCTCTCAAGATTTTGATCGCCGTTTCACAGTCGCTGCTTCAAGCAGGGCTGCTGTATTTCACGTACCTATGCTGCACAAGTTGTATTTGACAACCGGGCAGGGTTGAGAAACTCGTGGTCGTGAAAACAATAAACAATTCCATACTTCGGCGGATCCTGGTAGTTCTGGTAGTTCTTTCCGACAGCGGTAGAGGCAGAGGAAACATCCATGTTTGAAAACCGTCAGCTGCTTTCAGGCGAGATGTGTGTATTCTTTGTTCTGAGATTCGTGATGTGGCCCACCTGTTGCTCTTGCGCTTTAGTTTTCGGCCCTCTGAGATGTTGGGATTGTAAGGTGCCTAGTTCATGGCTGGAGGCCGGAAACTGTTGGAAGTAGATATAGTCAGGCTCAATGAACCAACCCCTGGGTTTGGGGGTCCAATCCTCCCCAGAGCGAATCTTTTGGGAGCTTATTTACGCTTTGGCTTGAGCCCCGAAACCAGGATTCTGAAAAACTGGGCCGAGCGCTGGCCTTTGATGGAGAAGGAGCCCGTTTTTCTTTTCTCTTTCAGCTGACTTGTCGCCTTTGCTGCAGTACAGTATTTTCCAGGCACCCGGATTTCATTGGACTCCTCCTCGTTTGCATCATACCGGCAGCTGCGCCCACAAGGGAGTCGTGACCATCAAAACATCGTTCCTGCAGCCAGGCAGGCGTTAGCAATACTCCTTGCATGAGAGCATTTCTGAAAACGATTGCAAGGGCTGCATTCCGCTCTCTACGGCCCTCTCGTTTGTATTGGTACCAGGAACGCAAAGCACTGAGCGTGGTGGCGGCCAGCATGAGGAGTGAAGTCTGACTGACAGTTTTCTGGTTGCGTGCTTTGGAACCTGAGGGTTTGTTGGCAAAGGGTTTCCGGAGTTCTGTTTTTGGGTTGTACCTATATCACTGATGCCTTCAAAGGGCAGGCGTTTTGAAATTCGGTTCGGCTCCTACGTGAGCTTCACAGAGAACCAGAAAACCCTCGACTCGACTGATGCTCACGGTAGCTAACTACCCAACTCCAGTGTGTGGTTTGATTCGGTACTCGTGCTGTTTTTTCCGTAGGCCGACAACCGCAAACCCCGAACAGAAGAGCTTCAAACGCCGAATGTCCGCACGATTCCGAAAGCCGCATGTGCCCGAGCCTGAAAACTTAATGGAAAAGGACTCAGCAGCCAGAAGCGCGCCCGACGGCAGTAGTGGCACTTGACAAGATCACGCACCTTGACTTCAGCGTCGAACTTCAAGCCATGTTCAACCATCCTGTTGGCGGGTCTTGAAACCTTTTTGAAAGAGCATTGCACCTTGGTTCAGCCGGTGTGGCTGCAGAGCTTGGCACTGTTTGTTCAATCTGAGCGTAAGTCTGTCTTGCTAAGAAGGCCAGCTCGACTTCAACTTGATAGGATCGAGGATTCAGTCCCCACATCATGTTGCGAACGATTAGGATAACTTGCCTACATGGGGCAAGTTGTTCAGGCTCAGGGCTGGGTGGTGCTCCCACCCCATTAGCCTCGATTGTGACTGTCATGCCTCAAAGGAAGAACCATGACCGCTTCCATGTTCAAGCGACTGGGATCACCCAAGCAAGGCAGGCCATCAACGTGACGGAGACGACCGTGGACATGGTGCCGAGGGTTTGCCCGAATCCTTTCAGCCTTGAGCCCATGTGTACACCGAGAACAACCTGTTGAACGAGTATCCCGAGCCAAGCCAATAGTATAATAGAACGCCACACATTGCAGGAGGTAGGCCTCAAAGCCTTCTCGGCATAGTGCCCGGATATTCGGATTTGTTCCCTTTTGAACTGCCCTTTCCATGCATGCCTCCTCAGCAGCTGTTTGCCACAACCCCTGCAGGCAACACCAGCATACTGGCAATCGCGAGAACTAGGTGCCGTAGCTGTGCGGCGTCAGGTCGCTGCCGAGGACCGAGGCACCGCAGCGCTGCAGGAAGCATAGGATTTGAGGGCCCACTCGGAGTATAGTGCGCCATCAAAGACGCCCAGGAAATAATAATATTGCTACATAACGCAAGAGAGTGAGTGACAGTGAGTGTGTGTGTGTGTGTGTGTGTGTGTGGGTACAATGGGGAGCCTTTGGGCAGCTCAAGATGCCAGGTACCTGGCCCAAGGACGCAACTACGCAGGAGCAGCTGACCAAAGCGCTTACGCAGACAATGCATTCCTCCTGCCTCTGGGACTGCTGTGGGGTCAAGATTCCACGTAGATTGGGAGGGGCCAAACTCAACATTTCACTGACTTCAAGGCCTACACTGCCTACATAGGCTTTCATAATTTACGGTTTCTGGCTTAGCCTTATAACTTAGAACCGTTTACGCTCAAGTGCGCTGCAGAGTTAGAAGTTCGGAATGCACTTTGGAGCAGCGTGGACAAAGGGGGCTTGCATAAACTGATTGGGGCTCAATAGCTAAGGTCACTCGCAGTTCTTTGCGGAGCACTGCGTACACATCACGAGCGTCCAGCGCGTGGAGCACCTCGTGCCGTACAGTATTCTTAGCATCACTTCTGCCACTACTTAGCGGGTGGCGCGGTGCCATACCACGGCCCGCGAGCCACATCCTCCGCCATTTTCAGAGTCCCCCATTTGGCCCGAAATGTTCCACGATCCCCGGACGCCCCACATCTACATCTGGCTGAAAGTCGCGTGCTCCGGCACGGTAGAAGAAGATCGGAGAACACGTTAGAATCTAGCAGTTGCCTCGACAAAGTGTACGAAGTTTGTCTCTCCATGCTCTGAGAGTGGTCCAGACAACATCACCGATGTACCTCGCATCTTAGCATGATTCGCCTGGCGATACCGAGGTACTGGCCAAGAAAGATTCATGATTCAGTCCTATAGACAGTAGGTACAGCATCGCCACGCTTTGCATCGGCTTCCGCAATGCCAGGAATGTGCAGCTTTGGCAGCGCTTTTGCGTCGCTCGGCAGGCCCTGGCGCGTCCCTGGTCAGCAGGGTGGCATGGAGATGCACAGAGTGTCTACGTGCTCCCTCGTTCTGCGCACTTCATGAATATGTGATGGCGTCGAACACCTGTTTGACCCGGTGCCGTGGTTCATTGTTGTGAGACTTGAGACGAGACTCACAGTGCACATGCGCCACGTGTCCAAGGCAAGGGCCTGCCACCGCCCATCAGCCCACCAGTCCGCGATGTGTGCCCAATGCCCCTTGCTCCGAACTAGATAGCCTAAATTCCGAGTATCCCAGTCGTTTTGGGTTGGTACACCACCAACTGCCCCGATATGGCTGACACCACGCAGTGCCTCGGGCCTGAGGCATAACCAGGGCTGTCTCCTCTTTGTTGTAAGCACTCGGTCGTTCGCACAAAAGTGCTCGACGGGGTTGTTTGAAGTCTTTCGCTGCGAGCCCAGACGTGAAGCAGCTTGTGCTTGCAGTGATGGCGGGTGCCACATCAAACATTAACATCCCCTGGAAAAGGATGTTCACCCACCGCCACCATTGGAGTTCCACCGTTTAGCTTCGCTGTTCAAGCCCGCCTCCGGTACGAGTGGTCAGGAAACGACAGCAGTAAGGCCCATTCCTTTGTGCCAGCGTCTCCTACATGTGACTACAATGGACCCGTGACTCGTCGCTGTCCTTGTCCTTGTCCGCGGGATGTTTCGAATCTGGCCTTCCCACATCGTGTACTCTCGGGCATGTGTGAGCATGAAACTTGAGTAAGGGGCTTTCTAGACGCAAAAAACCTTCTGCAGTCTCCTCAAAAGTCTCTTCCATTCAAGCAGTTTGCCGAAATCATAAAATCTGGAATCCCTGTTCACTTACAGCAAGCCACTGTGGTCCTGCATCCAGCTTCACGCATGCATGTCTGATATACTCCATGCGCAAGATACCACACACTCCCACAAATCAGTTTACATATAATAGTACGTAAAATTACTAGTATTATCATTATTATTACTATACATATATATATATATACATATATATATATATATATATATACATATATATATATATATATATACATATATATATATATATACACATATACACACCAGTATGTATCTACTATATACACCCACAAAGACTGTCGTACGCATGTAAGTGAGTATGCGCATGCATGTCCGTATACAACCGGGTCATCCAAGCTTCAGAACTGGGCTCCAAGTTTCTCTCGATACTCAACATCCTTGAAGCTACTTTACCAAGCAGGCTCGATTCGAGCACCAATGAGTACTGGCTTTGGCACGGTACGCGGGCAAGCAATATCGAGGCTGGGTTAGACTTAACTGCGTCAGTCAGGAAATCCGGAAAATGCAGGGATCTGGGAGCGCAGAGTTGCAGGATTTGGCAGGCTGCATGCACACTTTCCATGAAAAACACCTAGCGGCTAGCGCATGAGCCTGGTTCCGAACGTGGTTCCCATGGCCCCACGAAGATCGACCTCCATGCCATGCAGCAACCCCGCGTGTAAAATGGCAATGCCGCACAGCATTCAGCCAAAAGTCGGTTCCATTTGTTCATGTGAGAAACTGGTATGCGGCCGCATACAAAGAGCTCCAACATACTTCTCGACTCAAGGCACTGGCTGTTGAGCGCAGCAAAAAGCTGTGCGTCATACGCACGCAGATAATCCGGCAGCTGAGTTGACCCACGCAAAAACGATCCCTCCTAGCTCCCACCTGGAGCAATCGGATACTCCAGGGCTGGGAGGGGGCATCAAAGGCGTCAGAGCAGAAGCTTGACATGAGTCGTATGGCATCATATGGCACCACCGTGAATAGGAGATACCTGATCTTCTCGAACTTGACTTTGCTTTGCTCTCAGAGCGGAGGCCATCGTCCGGGAGGGTCTCGACGAGCATCTCAGCCGGCTCGAAGGCGATCCCGATCAGCTCAGGGCCAAGGCTCCCCAGGTCTCCGAGGAACCAGCTCCGGGTCCTCTGGGTGCTCTGTAATTTGTGATGTTAAGTTAACGGGAAGGCTTTACTGAGCAATCTGCAGTGTTTCGGGTGTCTCTGCGGAGTGTTGAAAGTGGAGGGCAAGACTGCTTGGCCCAGGAAACGGGGGCTGAGTGGGGCGTTCGGGTGTTTATATAACTGCTATTTGGCTGTGATTGCATGTTATTTAAAGGGCTTTGGGGGGATCCGCAGCGAAGGCTTGGGCGACAGCTTCAGGGAGTGCCTACATACTGTGCTTTCGGCGAGTATGGTGCGTGAGGTCTTTTTCGTTCAGGGTCTGCCTCGCCTCGCATCCGTGCTTTCAGGTGAGGCTTGTGGGCGCAATGAGGGCATGGTGCCCAGAATTAGGACGATAGAACCATGGCACCTACGCGACTGTAACCTTGTGTGAGCCCACAATAAGCCGACACCTCTGTAAAGCGCAGCATGGCAATAGCACACAATGCCCAACATCCCAACCCTGCCGAAACACGAAACGTAGCGTTGAGAAGCTCATTCACAGTAGCATCGGAAAGAGGGCCATGTGAGTTTTGAACGCCCGGTCTTGAAGCGGAAGGCGCAAGAAAGATCAAGAAAGGTCCCTGCAGGGAAAGTCTGAGCTCTGGAGGCCTGTATGGAGCCGGCATCTATTTTTCCGACGAGGCTTGCAAAGCCCTGCAGTATTCCGACCAGGCATTCGGGCATGTTTACGTGCCTTACAGACTTCATGGGCGTTGCATGCTGTTGAGAGCTCTTGAAATGTCGCATTGCTAGCTTGTCATGTCGAGGAGCGCAATTGGGCAACAGGGAGTAGTTGGAGTAGATTCTGGACACCCCAAAACCTAAAGTTTGCCCATGTCTTCTTGTATACCCCAAAAGACAGGAGGGCCCGCGCCATCTTCTGTTCTGCCGTGTGGTTCTCGGGCGACCTTACTACACGAAGGATGCACTGCAGCTGGGCCGTGTTAAGGGGTCCTTCTATTCAGGAGCATACTTTACTTCCAAAGCCCAGGAAGTCTTTGCGGAGCTTGAAAAATCTCAAGTCCTACCAGGATCTGGTCGAGAGCCTCTGCTGCAAGTCCCGAACGAGCCCAACGGCGAAATCGCAATCCAAGATATCGGGAACTTTGATAAATCTTGTGTTACTCTGGTGCAGCTTTATGACACGTCAATGCAACTGCCCCAATTGCAAGTCACAAGACTCCGAGCTCCTAGACCCTCTGGATGCAACGGCGGGAAGGGGGAGAGAGTGAGAGAGAGAAGACTCCGAGCAATGTAGTTGCATTCCGCCACATCTTGCAAGCCTGTGCATGACATACGGTTTGACTCGTCGTCGGCATTTGCTACATCATAACAGTATGCATGAATCCTCTCACTCCCAGCACCAGGCTCGCCTGTTGCACGCACCACGACTGTAATTATGATCACGGCGACTCCTAAGTCACAACAACACTTGCCAGTGCTACTACTGCTACTTCCCGCGTTTAGGACGACTACACCAATCGAGCATCGCTACTTGTTGACTGGCCCTGACGAGGAAGCCAGATCAGGAGGGCCATTGCTCTGTCATTGCCAATCCTGGCGCCATGAAGGGACATCCACATGGCCAGCAGTTTCATCGTGAGTTCGTGGTCTTTGACGGTGCGGCCGTCTACCCCGAGTACATCGTCTGCGTAGAAACCAAAGCCTCCAAGGGTCCGTGATCGGTTTGGGGCCTTTGTGGAATGGCTATGCAGCTTTTGTATGCAGTTCGAGCGATACGTAGTCTTTCTAAAATCATGGACTCTGACTCTTGGAGGTTCCGGCCCGAGCAGGCTGACCATGCTCCGCTCTCGCGAGAAAATGGCTGCGAGAGCTCATCATCTTCACCACCCGACACATATGCACCGGTCTTGCGATCCCCGGGGTTTTGAAGTTGGGGGCACGGTCCCGGTACCGGGCAATCGTACCTGGAGCATCCGTCAAGGGCTTTGCAAGCTAGGTTTCCCCGAAACACAAATGCTTAGAGCCCCACGCACAACTTCTACATGACCTCAGAACCGCCGAACCCTAAGCCCTCAATCCGAAAGGCCCCGAACATACACCACGCCTTCCCAGACCGCGAAAACACCCTGGACCCTCTAAAGCCTAAACAAAGCGCCTTGAGCACGAAATCCCAAGCCTCAAATCGTTGGATCCTAGAGCTAACCCTGTGATATCGTTCGGACTCGGCTCAAGCTGTTCACTTACGTTTTCCACAAGAAACTACTTTTTCGCCGAGGCGCGTTTGATCCTGGCAAACTTGAGAGTTTGGGGCGTCATTTTGGAAAGGAAGGATTTTGAAATGGAGGCATCCTATACTTCGGGGAGGGGTTTTGGGATGACTTCATGCAAGTTTCAGACTACTTGTGCACACACTTCATATCTTTATCTTTTGTTTCGTTTATTTTACCCTTTTAGGTTCGCTTCGCTCGTTTCACTACGTTCACCCAATAAGAGGATGAATGAATGAAGCGTATGCGAAAGGAACGGGAACTAATGAATACATTCTTATTTCGCTTCAATGAAAGCACACATGCGATCATTTTTCCCCTTTGTGTTTAAGTGTAGCAAAATAATTCACATCATATCATTACAGGATTATTCAAGAGAATAAAAATTGGTAGCCAACTTGAAGCTTTTCCATAAGCCTGAAATTTCGATCAAGACCCGAGACCCACATGGAGGCCCAGAGGACTCGGCAAGTCCGTTATGATTGGGGTAATGCCATGTAGGGCTTTAGAGTCTATGGAGTTCGGATTTCGGGATTTAGGGTGCAAGGATATTAGGGTTTCGGAGGATTTAAGGGTTCCTGGCATCGCAAACGGGGCCGCAGAGTCAAGACGCGCCTGGACAACTTATCTGCCAGCGCAGGGCAACGTGCTGACAATACCCCTGCAACCACCAAACCTCGCGTGGCTTGGATACAGTTACGGTATACCATGCATGGCTTGAGAATCATACTCACGTGCTTTAACTACGGCTATAAAATCTACAAGCCCGCAAAAGGACCCTGTGAACACCTGTTAAACCTTTTAAATCAAACCTGCAAGCGCTTGTCAATGCAAACGTTCCAAACTTGCTACACCCCAATTTGTATACCCCGTGCCCCAAATCCTCTCCCCAAAGGATGGCCTCACTGTGGCTTCGAAAAAGAGACCTCACCCCGCGTCGTCGGCGGGTGCAGGTTGATTCTCGGACTGCATTTTCGAAAGGTGAAGCCCGTTCTTTTAATAATGTCAACCTCCTTCACAGTAGTACAGTAGTATAGTACAGTAGCAGTACAGTAGTAGCACAGCCTCTGAGTCCAGCTCTTCCGGCGGACAAGGCACGTTTGGTAAAGTACCAGCAATGAACAATGATCCTGCGGTCCTCTCCCTCCTCCTTTGAAAGCCGAAGCTTTCGCAAGCAAGGGCATTGCTGCTATAGGTAGGTTATTCCAATCAACGACTCTGCTCCCACAGCTTGCTTTTCTTTTGAATCCAGAGCTTTCCCAATGAAGGGCTTGGCCTGTAAAGCTTGCTGTCCTTTTCAAGGCCTTTAAAGGCACCACCAAAAGGCCCTCCCCGGCGGGAGTTTATAGTTGAGGGGGTGTTTATAATTGCGAAGAACGGCCTTTGTTAGTACTCCATCAGGATGGATTGATTTTTGGCTTCGGGAATAAGGAATTTCTTTAAGGAAGGCATGGTTTCTGAGGCCCTCTAAATCTGAGTAGCTGCAGTTTCTCTCTTTCTGCAGACCTGAAGCAGTCGTAGTAGTTGCAGTTTCTCTCTCTCTGCAGACCTCAAGCTCTCGCAGTAGCTGCAGTTTCTCTCTCTCTGCAGACCTCAAGCTCTCGCAGTAGCTGCAGTTTCTCTCTCTCTGCAGACCTCAAGCTCTCGCAGTAGCTGCAGTTTCTCTCTCTCTGCAGACCTCAAGTCTCAAGCTCTCGCAGTAGCTGCAGTTTCTTTCTCTCTGCAGACCTCAAGCTCTCGCAGTAGCTGCAGTTTCGCTCTCTCTGCAGACCTCAAGCTCTCGCAGTAGTTGCAGTTTCTCTCCCTTTCTCTCTCTCACACAACAACACACAACAAGAAGTATCTAATTTCGAGGATTTGGGCCGGAAGGTTTTGTAATTGAGGGGGGGGTTATAATTGAGTTCCGGGGGTGGGGTTTTATAATTGAGGGGGGGTTTATAAAAAGTACGTTGACATTAACTTTAATACTCCGGCTTATTGCTGCTTAGGATTCTGGCTTTTTGCGGTTTTGGGTTTAGGTTTTGAGGGCATATGGAACAAAAATACATGTTAGAATGTTTCAGGTCAAATGGCCAACCAGCCACAAGATTGACAACGCCCTTCTAGCGGAACTGAGTGATCCGCAGGCGGGTTTGTGGGGGTTATGTAGGTAGAGAGGGGGTTTGGGGTTTAGGGCACTTACTGGGGGATCGGGCCTAGGGTTCGGGTTTAGGAGATTACAGTCTGGTAGTACTTGGTTACGGTTGACACGCGGAACACCAGAACACTTGTGGTACGGAGTTTAGGGTTGAGGGTTGGAGCATGTGAGTATTGAATACCTAAACTGTAGACTCCTAAACTCTGGACCCTAATCAGGCGTTGAATCCTAACGCCCTGCAACTCCAAACCCAACCGGGAGTTTCAATGGTTCGCAGTTCTCTCCCGCTTGCCATCTGGAGAGATCGCTTCTGTTCCAAATACTTCAGAACTTCAGGGCCCCGCACCATACAATAGTTAGGGACCCAAAAAGCACATAAGCATCAGCATCTTATGGGGATATCCCTACCTTATTGGGCTTCATGATAAGGGGATTCATATGGGATATCCCTACCCTAATTTTTGCTTATGTGCTTTTTTGGGGCCTTACAATAAGCCATGACACCCTAAAACGAATGTTTTTGTTCGCCAGCTTCTCCGAAGCCCTGGAGCTTTCAACCCATCTGTAAAAGCCCAAGGAGCACGTCCCCAACTCCCCAGAAAACATGAAAACAGCTGAAAGCCCAGGGAGCAGCCCTGACAAACCTTAAAAGCCCAACCAGACCAGGGTTCCTGCGAAGTGGAAGGTCATTGAGATTGAAGTGTTTTTGGACTAAGGCTCCTGCCGCTTTAAAAGATTCGTTAAGGGTTTCTTACACTTGGGTTGAGAATAGTTTGCCAAGAGAAGTTCTTGGCAACAGAAAAAATGCTGAGGTTTATTTTCGACCTGTGGGATCGGTGTTTTCCTTTTCCCTTGGGCTGTAATTGGGCTTGATGGAAGTTCTCACAAAGATGGAAGCCCGATGTAGGACCCTGGAGTAATCCTTGTGGAACAAGGATCACAACAACCCAAGACACAATCCCAACAAATAAACTGTCAAGGTACTATGCGGGACACAGAGGACACGGGTCCATACCCCTAAACGCATGCTGAAATGTGTAGCAGTCGCACGGAGTACAGATCCATCGACCTAAGTCGTATGCAGTAGCATGCGCAATGACTGGCTGTATGCCCATGCTTCTTCTAACTGCGTAAGCGACAACCCACTGCTACACAAGAATTTTTGATGCAGCTGAGCCTTCGGAACGGACATGCCGTATTCACACACACAAGGAAGAGCATGATGTACTGTAGACTGGCGGATATGCTGTTCTTCCTTGTCCAACTTAGTGCTTCGGGCAGGCTTGGTGAGTTGAAATCATTATCTGAGTGCATTTTGGATTGTGCTGCACATGTTGTCGCTTGAGCATACATGTGCATCCGCTGCCGTTTCCTCTCAAGCCAAAATAGCCAACAGAACACTGGAGTACCTGAGTCGCAGGAGTTTCCTTTTTCATTCTGTGTTGCAGAATGGAAGTGTTCATGGCTGCTAACGGTATCGAGACTCGAGAGGAGCTCGCGTTCTTTTTCATGGGTAGGGCAGAAGCCCTTGAAGCTGCCGGGCCCGAAGTGGCAGCAGCCTGGGAAGTGGCATCCCAGGAATGCCGGGGAGGTCTGGCAGTCAAGGTCCGCGATCTCTATGCTAAGCAGGCAACAGAGGCCAGGCCCAGCGTTTCGGTTGCAGTCGAGCAAGCTAGTGCTTCTACGGCTGTTGCGCCGTCGGCTGTCGCGCCGTCAGCGGCCTTGCCTCGGGTCAAGCGAGTCGCGCCTGGCCGCCCTAGTGCAGCACCGCTCCTGGAGTCCAATGAGCAGTTCAAGCCAGTGCTGCGGGACATTCTGATCTCTGGGAGCAAATACGCGAGCCAGCTGCAAGGGCAGAATGTTGATGGGATCGTGAACCAGGTCCTTCTGCCCGTCCTGAGGGGCACGGAGAGTAGTACACTCCAAAAGGTGTGTCGCACCTGGACCGAGCTCTGCGATGAGCACGACCTCCCTGTGCACAGGCTCACCGCCATAGCTGCGGCGTCCTTTGTCATGAATTCCGGTGCCCAGTCGAGGGTGCTGCCGGCTCTCTTTTTCATGACTAAGAGGCTGCACCTGGGAGTCGACCTGGGATTGGCCAGCAGCATGCGCAAAGCCAGTGCCGGTGGTGTTGGTCATGGAGCCAAGCAAGCTCCTGCGGCCGAGCCCGTTATGCTGCTTAAGCTGGAGGAGACGCTGCAGCAGGCCTACGAGAACCACCATGAGGACTTTTTGGCGTACTACGCCACTTGGTGCAGGCGCTGGGATGTGTGAGGTTGATCCACGTGCAGCGGAGCAGGTTGCTGTGCATGGA